GCCCCGACCGTACTTCGTTCCGCTCCTGCAGCAGGTTCTTGGTCTTACACCTCCTCCTCCTCCCTTAGAGGGTCCGCAGCCTGTCCGGTCACAGCCACAGCTACAGCCTGCCTCCCCTTTGCCTGCTCCTTCTCCCTACGCAGGTCCGACTGGAGGTCTTACTGAGCGTCGTGAGCCTGCGTCTCGTCCTGTGTCGCCTGTTCGTCCTGAGCGCGCTAGTGGTCGCGGGTCGCGTCAGCGTCCTCCTCCTGTCCCTGGCACGCACCGGATGTCACTGCGTCCGTCCACTGCTCCTCTGCGTGCCCCTTTGCCTTCTCCTCCTGCTTCCTCTCTTCCTGCTCTTGCCGACCCGGAGTCGGACGCTCTTCGTGCTGCCAGTCCTACTGTCACGCGTCTCCTGGCTACTGCTGTCACTGACCCCTCCTTCGAGTCGTCTGCTGCGTCTGCCCTTGTCACTGAGCTTGTCGACTTTGCTGCGCGCTGTCGTCTAGACTACGCTGCTCGTCTTGTCACTGAGTCTGAGTCCGCCTGTCCTCCGTCCGTCGGGGGTGAGTGTGCCCTTGGCACGGACGTCCTTGAGGACAGGCAGGAGGAGTTCCAGTGTCTGGCCGCCGCTTCACCTCGTCTCGCGTCTGTACTGCTAGCCCCTGAGGGAGACCCGGATGCACCAGACATCCCGACTCCGCGCTCTTACGCGGAGGCGATAGAGGGTCCCTACTCCTCTCAGTGGCAGGCAGCTATGGATGCAGAGATGGCTTCCTGGAAGTCCACAGGCACCTACGTTGACGCTGTTCCCCCTCCTGGGGCGAACATCGTCAGTGGCATGTGGATTTTCAGGGTGAAGCGGCCGCCAGGTTCTCCGCCTGTCTTCAAGGCGCGTTACGTGGCTCGTGGCTTCAGTCAGCGGCAGGGGGTTGACTACTTTCAGACCTTCTCCCCCACCCCGAAGATGACCACTCTTCGGGTTCTGCTACACGTTGCTGCTCACCGTGACTACGAGCTGCACTCTCTCGACTTCAGCACAGCTTTCCTGCAGGGCAGCCTGCACGAGGAGATCTGGCTGCGTCGCCCACCTGGCTTCACTGGGTCTTTCCCTCCTGGTACCCAGTGGAGTCTCCGGCGTCCAGTCTACGGTCTCCGCCAGGCGCCACGTGAGTGGCACGACACACTGAGGACTACGCTCGCGGCACTTGGGTTTGCTCCTTCCACTGCCGACCCGTCGCTGTTTCTGCGCACCGACACCTCTCTGCCGCCGTTCTACATCCTCGTGTACGTCGACGACTTGGTCTTTGCCACAGCTGACACTGCTGGACTCGCCTACGTGAAGTCCGAGCTGCAGAAGAGACACACGTGCACTGACCTGGGTGAACTGCGCAGCTACCTTGGCCTGCAGATCACCCGGGACAGAGCACGCCGCACCATTACCCTGACTCAGTCACACATGGTGCAGCAGGTCCTTCAGCGCTTCGGCTTCACGTACTCCTCGCCTCAGGCCACTCCTCTGCCTACTCGCCACTCGCTCTCAGCTCTGCCTTCGGATGAGTCCGTAGAGTCGAGTGGCCCGTTTGCAGAGCTTGTTGGCTGCCTCATGTACCTGATGACCTGCACACGACCTGACCTCGCATACCCTCTTAGCATTCTCGCACGCTTTGTTGCTCCTGGGAGACACCGACCAGAGCACATGGCTGCAGCGAAGAGGGTGTTGCGCTACTTGTGCAGTACGTCGGGCATGGGGCTAGTGCTTGGAGGGCGCAGTCCAGTGGTCCTCACTGGGCACGCAGACGCTTCTTGGGCTGACGACCAGGCTACGCAGCGGTCGTCACAGGGTTACACCTTCAGCCTTGGTTCCGGCTCTGTCTCGTGGCGGGCTACCCGCTCGTCCTCTGTTCTCGGCTCCAGTTGTGAGGCTGAGATCTACGCTGGGGCTATGGCTGCACAGGAGTTACGCTGGCTCACCTACCTGCTGACCGACCTTGGAGAGCAGCCTCGTTCTCCTCGAGTCCTGTACGTAGACAACAAGGCCATGCTGGCCTTGTGTCGAGAGCAGCGACTGGAGCACAGAACGAAGCACATTGCTCTTCGCTACTTTCTTGCTCGTGAGCTACAGCAGCGTGGACAGCTGCGACTTGCGTACGTGGCCTCTGAGGCCAACACTGCTGATGTCTTCACCAAGGCACTTGCGCCTTGTGATCATCAGCGTTGCTGCACGCAGTTGGGTCTTGTGCCTGTCTTGCCTCACTTGCTCTCCTCTTGACCTTGCTTGTACTTTCGCATATATATACTCTTGCTCTTGTATATCTCTATATATGATCTTGCATGTGAACTGGCCTTGTGGCCTTTGAACTTGTGCTCGGAATGCGTGGTGACTTTGTGATCCACCCTGAGCTTTGCTTTGCTTTGCTTGACTGGTCTTGTGACCCCTTGTTCTCCCCCACTTTGCCTATGGGGGTGTGTCAGAACTTATAGCTTACTTGTTTCTGTAGGCTATAGTGGGGTATCCCATAGGGGGTACAACCCAATTAGGGTTTCCTATTTGTACTCACTTCGTTCATAGTCATTTCATTCTCGTTCTTTGTTTCCACAAGAACAAGCAGGAGCAACAGCAACGTCGGTACGCGCGGGAGCAGGAGCTAAGATCCATGAGCACGGCTCAGCTGAAACAGTGGCTTCTCGATCAAGGCGTGGATCTCTCCCCTTGAGAGGACAAACACGCCTACTACCTTCGGATGGCTCTTCCGCTGCTCGCTTCCCCCGCCGCCCCCCTCTCCTTCGCGTCTCCGCAGCTTGGTTCACTGAATACGCTCTTCTCGCCTCCCATGGGCTCGCCTAACACGCGCGCTTCACTGAACACGCCCTTCACGCCTCCCAGGGGGTCTGTACATGGTGATGCTTTTGCTTCTGCTCGTTCTCGCGAGCCTCTGTCAGCGGTGGACCAGCAGCAGCGGCGTGGGAAGCTGCAGGAGGGGGGGGAGTCGACCCCTTCGACAGCCGGGAGCGCGTGTGCTACCGCAGGGCATAAGAGAGCTGTTGAAGCAGCAGCAGGAGCAGCGGTAGGAGCTAAACGAGGAGCTACGGTGGTGCCAATGCCTGGCGAAACGGCTGTTGAATCCTGGGAAACACCTGAGGAAACACCTGAGGGATGGGGAGCGAAGGGGGACCAGGAGGAGCACAGGAGCAAAAGATGGTGGTGGTGGTGGTGGTGGTGAGGCAGCTCTGTAACACACGGATGGCGGGAGAGGGAGGACGAAGTAGGCGCTGGTGTGTATGATAAAAAGGAGCACATGTTTCAGCCCTGGGAACAGCAGCAAGAGTAGCAACCGCAGCAGGGAAACCGTCAGCACCAGTGGCGTGTGCAGTAGCAGCATCAGCGTCAGCAGCATCAGCGTCAGCAGCATCAGCGTCAGCAGCATCAGCATCAGCAGCGGCAGCAGCACCAACAGAAAGAGGAGGAGTCAGATACCATCTCCTTCTTCTCTGCTCTCGATTTCCCCCATATCCCTCCTCATGGACTCACTAGAGGTTTCAATCCCGACACGGAGCAGCACAGGCGTCATGTGCGTGGATCAGCATGGGCAGGGAGTAATGGAGGAAATGACGATGGTGGAGAGGCAAGTGCAGGTGTGGGTGCTGCAGGTGGAGATGGTGGAGATGGGAATGTGGAGACGCGTGATGGTACCTGGGGGTGGTTCTGGGGTAGGACGCAAGGGGGTAGAGTGGTACATCGCGGAAAAGCCAAGGGCATGAAGTGACAGAAATGTGACTTTTCTGTCACATTTTCGTATACGACTTTTGGGTGTAAAAATGTGATGGTTGGAAGTGACAAGCCCAATGTCACTTCCAACGTGACGGGGATGTCACGGAAATGTCACGGAAAACCTTCTGCCGCGTCACGACAACCGTCACAGCATAGTCACGCGGAAGTCACGCACAAGTCACACTGGGGTGGCCTCAGTCGGGCGAATAACAAATGCCACATTTAGTCTCAATCTTATAGCAACCATACACGTGGCGGCCATGACGTCATCATGACATATCGTAAGTTACAACACTGTACACTGCAAGGCGCCTCGAGCCACAGTCCTATCCAACCAACTGCATTCACGTGGACGACCACGATCAACCCGGAATCGCATCCACACCCTTCGTTTTCACTCTCTGTAACCAATACACACGCGCCATATGTGAATAAGACCTGTTACCCATTGGTCGACTCTCAATACCTCTCGTCGCCACCAGACTACGTGTACACGGCGAATGCCGTTGAATTATGGCAACGTGTACGGCTGTTACCATGCTCATGATTACTGCACATGTAAACACGATGTGTATCCGACCGTCCACGTACACACGCATCGACGATGCCTCGCATTCGGCATCGCGAGCCTGATCTTACCAGTGTCAACGTGTAATTATTCCCGTCTGTTTGTATACACCCACGTGGCCGTTGTACACGTAGTGTGGAGCCACTGATGCTGGCCCACTTGTCCTGCCCTCGACCGTCCACCGGACCATTATCTAACGGCACACTGGGCTGCCGATGCACTTGCATCTACGGCTCCAGTGGGCATAGGGCTCGCCACGCGCAGCCCCACGATAAGGTTGGTTGGACCGTCTCAAACCGAATCGCGGTCCCATCCTAACCGCATCGAACGGCACACATCCGAACCGCATTCTGCGTTAGTGACCCTACGCCAATAGCCGTAATTTTCTGCCTCATTTTACGTTCCGCTGAATGGTTGACGGGTTATGTTTCCCCCCTGCTCACGACTTCACGTGATTAATTGTACAGATTTTCTTGTTCCTTCAGTGTTGAACGCAATTGCCATTAATCGCTTGAACACGCGGCTGATGCCGTACCACATCCCTCGATTACAGCATCCTCACACAGCCCACCGCCTTTCCCATACAACGCCACCTTCATACGCATTAGACATATGGTGGTACCACAATTCTATGCACCAGCTCACGATGCCAGACATCGCCTCCCGTTGTTACTCCGATTATGCCTGCCGAGACCCGCGACTGACGCTTGCCTCCGCGGTCACTACGTCGGCAGCCGCGATGCCGTCCGCCGAGATGCGCAGACCATGGCGGCCCCACGCCCAGCTCTGGGACGCCTCGTCATAGGCGGGCTGGAAATCCGCGATGGCCCCCCTAACCGCTGCCTGTACGATGACGTGGAGGCCGTCCACGATCTGCGCGTTGGTGCTTGCGGAGTTGTAGAAGCGACCCTGGCGAGCCTCCCAGTGCTTGACTGCATCTGTCACCTGCGCACGGCAATCCACATACAGGCGCGCATGAGGACTCTCTCCCTGATATTTTAAACCCTGTAAAGCTGCACAGTGCCGGCGTACCACGTGCTCTAGCCATGCCACGTGGTATAGCTTCAGTGTCACAGTCCCGTTCACCATCCTTGGCTTGAACGCCGCCCGCGCGCATGCTGTAAACGCCCCAAACGCGAACGGCATCCCGTCACGGTCGCAACTCCAATGAGACAGTGCCAGCTTACCTGCCACAATACGCACACACAATGTGCATATTTAATAACGGCGATCTCAGGCTTGTGCACTGCACTCCCATCCGCCCTTGTTACGGCAGCACGTTCTTACCTGCCGGCATGTCTCCAAGGCCGACCCTATCTCGGATTCGGGACAGGGTGCGCCTGGCCCGTGTCGCCCAGGGACTCTTCATGTCTCGGTCGTGGCGGAACAGTCCAATCCTAGGCAGCGAGATGTCGCGGACTCTCCCTGCCGCACCAGTCTTCCAGTCGCTGAACGACCTGTTCAGGTCGATCCGACGTGCCTTGCACGCCGCGAGAGCAACGCTTGCATAGCTCACAGTCAGGTTATCCACGACTGCGCAAATGGCCCATGTCTTGGCTGCGCTGCTGGGGTAGAACGCCAACTGCGAGTTGGAGCGCCGAATGAACAGCTCGGTGCGAGCCTGCTCACATATTTCCTGCAATGACAGACCACGCATTACGTCATCAATCACCAGACATGATCCACCATGTGTACAGCCTCATATCCCAAACCAGAATGCGACACGACAACACTCTAGGCTTACCTTCCAGCCTTTGTCGGTCGGGAGGAGGTCGAGCGGCTCCTGCATAATGGCAGATGTTGAGTGTCGAAGGTGGCCCTCGTTCTCGTCGTCGAAGCCCCCCTCCTCATCGGACGCTGTCTCGGACGTGGAGCGTGACCGCCGCGCCTTCTGGCGCTTTCCCTTGCCGGAGCCGCGCTTTCGCCTCCTCCTCTTCTTATTGTTGATGTCATCCTTGGGTTTCGCAAGGAAAGATGTCTCCAGCCTTGCAATCGCACGTGCCGTGGCTTCATGGAGCTCCCTCATGCTATTCAGATCCTCGCGCGTGACCGGTGCGTCATCCGGAGCACGTTTCGCGCCGGCGTCGTCCTCTTCTGCGTCAGCCTCGGCATTGTTGTCCGCTTTCCGCACCATCCTCGTCTTGAGTGTTCACTGGGTTACGCCTGGGGAGATCCTCGTTTGGATCGTCGTCCGATGATGGCGCAGGAGGTGCGTCATGTTCCCCATCCACTCATGCAGAGCCTTCGATGACGTCTTGAACCTGACGTTTGCGCCTGCGGCCCGCCTTCCCGCTGGAAGCAGCGGTCTCGTCAACCTGCCTGCTGGACTGGGCAGAGGAGGAACTACCCTCAAAAGTGCTCCCATGCGACATACGCGAGTCCCCGCGAGTCCCATGAGATGGTGTCACGGCTGCGTTTCACACAATGGAATAAAAAACGCAGATAAGTGACGAGCGCAAAGCCGAAACGAGCGTACTGTGTAGGAATGTCACAGCGGCCAGGGTAGAATGGACAAAGCACCAAACACATTAGCAGGGCAAAACAAGGTCACTCACGTGGCGGCGAGGGAGGACCCCTGGCTTGCTGCTCGTGGGCATGCTTCGGAATATCTAGACGAGGCTTCTTCGTCACCTGACGCCTAACATTCCCAGGCAGAAGGTAAGAGTTCTGCAGGTACGCAGGTGGTTGTGACACGCGCTGACTCCTGCCCTCACGTGACGACACTGTGAAACTGTCCATCGTGAACAAAGTTGTAGGCAAGAATGAGCCTGCCTGACATAGTGTTCACTACTTACGCATTCAGCGTCCAACCCTTGGGCACATCTGTGCTGTACCCCCCCATTACACGTGGCAACCGATTGTCGGCCGGACTGGGTTCGTCAGGTGGCGGGTTTTGCCCACATGGCTCAACTTTGACGCATGGTTATCCACACATCTCGTTATAGAGTCGAGTCAGATGATGTTCCACAGGGTAGCATCGTCACAACAAATGCTACACATTGGCAAAACTATTAAATGTCCTCCGCACAGGTGCGTTTGTTACCAAACATATGTGGATATTCATTATGCACTACTACACGACATCCACAGGGCGACATCCATGCAGTACGCATGCTATTACATCAAGAGATAGAACTCCATCTAGCATCACATGGTGTTCACCCATAGTACAAAGCTTCCTATACAAGTCCAACGACCTAGTGATTGCCATCCGTGTAGCAATCAGCCACTTCCAGTTTCCCTGACGGCAAAGCCCATGGGTCCTCGAGAGGGGAGCATAGCAATCAGCCACTTCCAGTTTCCACCATCCTGTCTTCCACGTCGTCGTCACCACTGCTGTTGCTGGTCGAGCGAGTGCCATGGTTTTCGAGAGGGAAGGGAGTACCAGGAGCAATGCCCAGCTCTGCCATTGCTGTCCTCCACTGACGCCACCTCCACCACATCCGTGCCTTGACCAGATGACGCACGTCGTCGCGAACACACCCGTCCAGGGATGCCTTCTCTGCGTCCGACAGCTCCTTCGTGTGCGGGATGTGGTCTTTACGCCTGATCACAAATGCCGTCGCGGCATACGCATACGCCGCATCGAGCTCCACATTATACGCACCCAGCCTGATCTGCTGACCAGTGCCTGGTCCGCACACCATCTTAACCCCCCACTGTCGGCCCCGTGTGCACTAACTCACCCCTGTCCAGCGACTAGATGTAGGCCGACTGCCGTACGCGGCAAGCATACTGGTCTGACGCACGGCCCGTGATGCAGTCCTACTCCCCTGACGCGTGGTATACTTGGCAACGCGCGAGACCGTCGGCGGTGCTGCCGGAGTCACAGGAGCGGTTGGGTGATCCTGCTCCGCCCTCATGGGGTTGGCAACTGTTGGTGTCGGGTCCATCTGAATGGTGGACGCCCCATCGAAATGCGCAGGAGGGAACGATGGCACCGGAATCGGGCAGGGTGTCGGGTGGATGGTCATGCCGAGCGTCCGCATGGATGCAACATGATCCACGTGGTTCTTGGACGTGGACACCGCCAGCAGAGGCGTCCCGTGTGCCTGCAGCTTGTGGGCCGCTCCACTCAGCAGCTGATCCTCTGAGATGCCAAGCGAACGTGTCAGGCACATGACAGCAGCACACACAACGTAACCCCCCACCTCCATCCAGGTGATCATGCCTGACTGCCTCGCCAGGTCGGTGCGGACTTCGTCCTCCTTGGGAAAGACGAGGGCACCATGTTCACCCAACTGTGGGAGAGGCTGCACGGGAACATCCACACCCTCCCCAAGTAGCTTGACAAAAAGGTCACCTGTGGTGTGGAGTGAAACCTCCTCGCGGAGCTGGCGCCGGTAGGCGTGTGATTTCACGCCGTAGAACGACATCCACTCTTTCAGGGTTGAGAAGCCGGATGACACCAGTGTGTGAAGATACATGCCCACATAAATCCCACAGTCTATCGCGTTCGACTGTTGTGGGATGTCTTCCGGCTGCCAGCAGACACACAACATGAGAACGCACACGTCAGGTGACGGACAATCCAGACTGCGTCCGCGTCGTGACTCCCACATGGAGTGCACTTACATGCATGATGGTGACTTCGGCATACTTCAGGTGGTCCTCTGCCTGCTTCCGGTCGGCCGTGGGCAGCTGAGCCTTGTGCAGCATGAGCAACATCCTGCAAGGGAATCAGGTAACCCTTATCGTTATACATGGCGTCCGTGAAATTTATCAAGATTGGGCATGGAGTAAGTATAAGATGCACCACTCACTTCTTGACGCCCTCCATCACCTCCGGCCTCTTGGTGTGCAGCTGTGCACTGTCGTAATGCACCAGCTCCACGCTGCCCTCTGCAGTCTCGGATAGCTTCCCGCTGACCATGGTGCGGAGTTTCGTAGCTATGACCAGCGAGTAGTGGCCCCTGACACATGTAATCATGGTATATTTTAGCATGCGCGCATCTAGCACCAACTGCTCGGGTACCCGGCTACTATCAACAGCATGAGCATCACGAGGTACACGTCTTACTCGTAGTACACCGGTATGGCGAGGTAGTCCTGTGCGAAGATACACGGTGCATGGCCAAGGGGCCAAGCCTTGTCCAGGGAGTTCGCGAACGTAAACGCCTTCGTGTCCAGAGCGAACCATGTTTTGCCTCCCTCTAGCTTCGGATGTCTTATGTTCAATAGTCTGGAACACAGCACATATGCACGCCATGGCTCGTCAGTAGAGTTACGGAAGACGAACATCCAGCATGTATAAAGCTATGCTTAACAAGACGCTTACATGTTATGGAAGTTCACAACGGTGTCGGCCAAACACTGCCCGTCTTCGAGAGTCAGAACGTCCTGTGCTGGTAGCTGACACCCCACTCCATGGGGACCGTACAGGGCCAACGCCTGGAAATCACGCTGATAGTTGGGGCGGGCAAGACGGGCAATGACGTCGTCATTGGGCGGCGGCGGCACCTCTCCTGCGCCCCTCACAGAGCTGCCCGCCGATGTCACGGTACGAGGGTGGGGCAACTCCTGCTTCACCTTGCGCTTACGGCGATCCTGCTCCGTTGACAGCGAGGTCAGGGCACTAGCCCCGCACGACACGTTGTCTCGCTGCACCAGCATACGTTGTATGTTCATCGTGTGCACTTAGAAGACTCAGACGCGTACTGGTTTGGTAGACGGGAGAGATAGACAGGGAGTCGAGAGTACACAACCTAGTTTGCTGTAATGGTAGCTCACCGGACGACTATATCAGGCAGTTGACATTGGAGCTCTGCAGAGTCTTTTGTTGTTCGGAAACATACAGCATTGACAATGAAGCCCGAGATTACGAAAGCGCGCCAGATCCAGCTGTGGCGAAATTGGCGCGGAACGTTGGATAGGCATGATGGGCACACGTGTCATCATTTCGTATCATGCATCATGCCCTTGGCGAGGACGACGGGATTATTTTGCATGTGGCCGCGAGGTTGCAAGTGCGGGTGTGCGATGGTCCATACTCTCTATGGTTTGAGGATCATCAAACGCTCAAAATGTGTGTTATTGCAAATAAAACTTTAAACTTCTTGCACCACGCACAATAAGCATGGACTACCACCGAGAGGCTGTGGTTCGGTTCGCCTACCCAAGGTGGCATTCAAACCCTATCCACACAAACTCGTTTAACACAGTCGCGCAACAACATAAAGACATCACGTCCATTTTGATAGTTGGACGCGGCATATGACAGACCATAGCACGCCACACCCCTACATACCAAACTCTAGACCCCCACACCATTACCCCGCCACTTAACAATCATTCCAGGGCCGCAGTACATCAAATTACGGCTACAGTTGACGGACGGCGCCGCTTGGTAGGCGCCCGGCGCAGACGACTGACGACCAGAGCGTTCGACGCGCCAAACCGCTCTGGCGTGTCACGCACATTAATGCCGAGCGCTAGGGCTCGACGGACAAGGTATTCGGTGACGACGCACGCCACCCGCCTGCGACAACGACTGACATTCAGCAGCGGTCCTGACTGCGTCTGCAGGGTTATCTCGCGCCCGTCCTCGGCGGCAGGAGTGTCATTGATGGTGCGCTGCACGCGTGGCGGGAGAAGGGTTAGCTCGCAGTGTGCATAATCCGTAACATGCATGAGAGTGTGGCCGGGCCGTACGAACTCGTCTATGATGTACTGCAGCTGTCCCAGCTCCTGAACAAGAGGCTCGGACAGGACATAGAGAACGGGGTTTTTGAACTCTCGCACTGCAGAGCGCCATGGTGCCGGCACACAGCCCGCGCGCCACCTGGTGAGATGGACCGAAACCGGAGTTATGTCCCTCCACGTTGAAGCCATCCAGTAAACCATGAGTGACAGGGGAGGGGCGTATCGGGACAATGTCCCGTCGCGCCACTCTGGTGTCATCATCAAATGGCGAAGGTACGAGGCACGGTACAGTGTCTTCCACAACTCAATGAGACCGCACACGCCGGGATGGATGCACATCGGCGCATTAGGACCCTGCATGTGAATGATTCGGAGGTTGCTCAGGATCTGAACGCGGAAACCGTGCTCCGTCGTTTCCATGACAGATGGATCCGTTGACGAGTGAGCGTCCTGCGTCACGAGGATGATGACATGGTCGTCGGTAGAGTAAGACCTCCCATTCAACGCTTCCAGGTACTCGCTGAATATCTGACAAGCATTACACGCGAGGATGGAGCAGGCATGTTAGTAACTGGGATTGCACGAGGATAAGGTCAAGGCATTCCGCAGACTGACTAGACGCCATATGAGCATGAGATCTCCCACCTCGGGCGTGACGAACCCGTCCACGCTGTGTCGCACGAACACCGTGAAACCGGGGGGTGTTTCAAGGCCCTGCGCAATCGCGTCGTCCGCGCGGAATATCAGAAGAGGCGGACACATGATTGTTCCCGTTGCATTGAACAGGAAACAGATATTGATGCGCCAGCCGGGCAGCGGATCATCGTGTCCATTTTCAGATTGAAGGAAGGGGAGCCTGGTGGGCAAGAGAGGCTCCTCCACGAAGTAGTAGACGTCGTCTGGATTAGCCTTTATCCCCGCGAGTAGCATGGCCAATTCAGCCATGGTTGAGAGCTAGAGTGCACCACGAGCACCAGTGCCGACAATATAAGCTCCACTAGCTTACACTAAGAGGAGGCTCGAATGACCGAGAGCGTCATTGTACACGCGGACATTATCCGCCACGTAATCACATACTGCAGCACTCCTGTCCACATACGTTGGCGGTGTGGACACATGTAGTATCGTCATTCGGACCCAGTGTGCCACCAAACATACGCACATGGATGAGAGCGGGTAAGATAAGTGGCCAGGATGGCGCCAATGTTCAGTGAATTGTTTGGGTTTCGTTCGGTTACGTTCATGTTTGAGCGGTTGTGCTGTTCCTTTTGCACTGGACAGACCAATGATATTCAACCGTCACAAACCGAGGCTATCTACTGCTTTACGTGTATCATGCAATGTTACTAAATACGGGTACACATTGGCCGTTCCCAACCGTTAACAAGGTCGCCGTGACCGTCTCGGAAGGTCGTACCAACACAGAGGGGGTTGCTGGTATATTTGCGTGAGTGTACGAGATGCACAGTTTATCGGTAACTTGCAATTAGGGTCCGCGCCACCTCTTGCGATGCTGGGTAACGCATGCGAGGCATGCGGCTTGGAGCACGTCGACGACAACACGCTCCAGTCGCATGTGTCTAAGAATGTCAAGTGCAGGAGGAAGATATAGCACTCTCGAGCCCGGCGGCTGGTGGAGGTGTATCGGGACGCGCTGCGCGCCAGGCGCGGAGCAAGGCCCCGTTCACCCGTGCGTTCTCGACGCAGCTATGAAGACGACTCAGCTGAGAGGGCCGCAGTGGACCCTGTTGCAGTTACCGATCAACCCGACCCTCCCGAAGGCCTAGAGGAGGATAGCGACGACGAAGAGAGTGTGATGTCAGTGATCGACGATGGCTTCAACACTCTGGTCAAACTATACATCTTCTTCCGCGAGGCAGATCTGTCTAGAAGGGAGGTGAACCGACCTCTTAACATATTTCAGAACCCTAATTTCTCTTTGAGGGACGTGAGGCGGTGGCTGAATTTCGTGGACGTGAGACGCTTTGGGCGCGACAGGGCGCCAAGTGATCATGTCCCATGGAAGACGAAGGACATCAAGTGCTACGGCCCGAGAGGCAGGATGTGTACGCTGCTGCTGCACTACCGAGATACTGAGCTGGTGAGTGCATGCGTACATGCATGGAAAAAGGGCCACTTCATGTTTGACATGAGGCAGGGGGAAATGGGCATACCATTAACTCATCGTCCGCATGCGTGTGGCAGCTGGTGAAGAAATTGCTACGCGCATTCCAGCACATTGCGGGATTTGTGACCAAGCCTCGGGCAGACAAGGAAGACACCGACACGGTGCGGCATTACAGCACTCCCGACACGGGGAGGTGGCTGGAAGAAGAGCAGGTATGAACTCCTGTTCAGTTGTGTGGAATGCGCTGAAACGATGAAGCACTACATCACTGACGGTTGGGTGCACCATGTGCGCAGGCGCTGATTGGAGAGGAGGACTGCATTGTGATGGGTGTGATTGTGTACAACGACAGCACGCACGCCTCGAGGAATGGCAGACTGGCGGCATGGCCGGTCCTAATCAGTTTGTTCAACATACCGGAAGCGCTCCGCTGGCAGGAGCCGGGGCACCTAATGGCTGGGGTGCTGCCGTTCCCGCCAGAGTGGGCGTCGTCGACCGAGAAGACACATTTTCCAGCAGTGCATGGAGGTGATCTTCGAGCCCCTACTCCGGGCACACAGAGGGTGAGTGGGTGTGGGAGTGGAGCTTACGCGCCATGCTATGACTTAGATGCCTACAACTTACCGGGCCAACATGTGCAGAGCCGAGTTGCGGTGGTTTTATGTGACGGACGCGACAGGCAAGGTGGTGAAGGCCTTTCCCTGCCTCTTCGGGCAGCTGGGGGACTTCCCAGAGTCGTCGCGGTCTACTTCGACTATGCAGCAAGGCTCACATCGGCCGAGTTCTTCGTGCTACATAAAAGAGACACATCTGGCAGACCTGTTACATAAGTCGGTGGTGCGGACGGTGGAGCTGCAGAGACGGGTGGTGGAGGCAATTCAGTCAGCTGATGACAGCAAGGCGGCGGAGAAAATCAAAAAGCGATGGTCCACACACCCTGTGCAGGTGAGGAGGTGCAGTGCCGATTTTCTCGGATCACACTCTGGAATTGTGCACCCGGCGGGGTGACGCAGGGTCTGTTCATATGTGTGCCGTTGTTGCGTGTGGCAGTGCTATTTGGAGATGTGGAACTTTGCCGAGACCACGTGGGGAAACGTGTTCCTCGCATGCGCGGCGGACCTTCTCCACGTCCTGGACGGGGGTATGCTGCCACGCATGGGCAAGTGCTTCATGGTTGGGAAGAGCAAGCCAGAGAGGCGTGAGTTCGAGAGGTGGGTGTAGATGGTAATGGCGCAGCCTCCGTTGTTGTGGCGGTGGCTTTGCTGACCCTCTTTCCCAACCATGGCAGGCGCCGCAAGGAACAAAAGAAGGACACGCGCGCAAGTGTGGTGCGCATCCCGGGGGGGACCACATGGTTCAGCACAGGGGCGAACTATGCCGCCTTCGAGCACAGGGGGATGATGCAGGTGATGCCTCTGCTTGTCGCAGACAACATGGAGAAGAGCAAGCCGCCGGCCAAGGCGAAACGGGAACGGGAGGTGGCGGCGTTTGTGGCGTACGCCAGCTTCTACAAGGTGCTGGTGGGCGTGACAAAGCATACCGAGAAGTCGTTGGACGACGTCCGAGAAATGGCTGTGCAGTACTTACCCTCCCCGTTATTCATATTAGTGATGTGCACATAAATGTGATGTCCCGCCTAAGAATGCCTCCCACGCGCACATGCAGGGTGGTGGACGCCATCAAGGCCGCGTTCCCGGACCAGACGTCAGACTGGAACATCCCTAAGGTGCACCAGATCGTGCACCTGATTGACGGCATACCACTGCGTGGTATGCCGCACGAGACATCCACCAACCTTTGGGAGCACACGCACAAGGGCACCGTGAAGGTGCCAGTCCGTGGCAGCAACTGGCATGACATCCCGCGCCGTATTGTCGAGGAGGAGGTGCAGCGAGAGATTGCACGGGAGGTGGCGGCAAGAGCGGGCGGAAACAGGCAGTATGTGACGGCGCTGCGCGAGGTGAGGGGGAGGGGTGTGTACCAGGCTGACAAGGTGCTGTAGAAGCGAGGGTGTCATCGGACCCCGGGTTCTCACATGAGGCGTGCATGTTGTTGTGTGCACACAGGCCGTGCAAAGACTGAAGCCAGTCCTGACAAAGACATCACGGAGGGCGCACGTGGACGAAGACCTGGATGCGGTGATGTGGGCGTATCGCGAAGCTCATGGGTCGGACATGGACGCACTCACCGGGTGCATGGTGGCGGCAGGCATCCCCACCACTACCATTGAGGTGGGGTATGATGGTGGACATGAGATGGCTGGGTGATGGTTGATGCATCGTGGGGTGGATAGCCTGAATGATGGAAGGGACAGAGCCTTGTGAAGACATCACACCGCATCCACTGTTCTCCGTCTCTGTTGCCCGGCGTATGCAGGTGCATACAGCCGTGGCGATCCCCCGAACGCGAGGGGGAGAGCTTGTGCCCAAGGGCACATTTGTGAAGGCCAGCCCTTCTGAGCAGTGGTTTTCTGACATCGCAGTGTTCCGGTCTGACGAAGAGGAGTGGTACGCAAGGTGCCTCTGCATCTTCCGCGCGGAGGGGGCGGACGGAGCGATGGGGCGACACGTGTACGTGAAGTACTACGAGGCGGAGGGCACGTGCCCGATGACGACATGCTTGCAGCTGTCTCCCGACCGTGTGAGAACAAGATATGCGGTGGTGGAAGTGGAGTGCATCCAGAGTGTGGTGCACGTGGGCAAGTCCTATGTGAACAAGCGGGTCATGCTCCTGAACAAGTTCATGCTGACGAAGTGAGGGTGGTGGGTTTTTATTGCCGTGACGTGTGGGTCCACTGTGGCAATGTGCGCTGATCTGGACGCAATTGACGATAACTCAGTAGACACATGAGGTGGCCCCTTTAATGGTTTTTTTTTAAGACCAGATGCGTCACTTGGTTGGGTGGATGTTGCATCACTTTTACCATGATCAATAGTATCCCACTGGTGTAGATGTTGGCACCTTGCTGCAAATAGTAAATGTTTTAAGGAGGGCATCTGGTGTAGAGCGGAAACGACGGCGTTGCTTTCGTAGAGCCCGATGACGTGCTCGCGCCAAATATGCGATTCGAGGCAAGGTGCGTCCCACGAGGGGGAATGCGCGCCTCGATTTTTACGGGGCCGTTTTGAGGCTAAGGGTTTGAGCCCTACCGTGACATTTGCGTCACATGTGTTTTGGGACGTTTTGGGTACTCGCTGGCACTTTTTGTATGGTTTTCCGTGGAAAAACCCACTCACATGAAAATTGAGCACCTGACTTTTCCGCGATGTAGGCGGGGTCTCCGCGAGTGTGTTTTTCCCCTGGCTCCTGCTTTCCTCATTCCTTTCCTTCTTACTGTCGTTCCTCCTTGCCGTGTTCCGGCGATTGAAAGGCTTGGCAATCCGCCGTGCGTCGTCGGAACCCCTTCCACTCGCACAACTAGAACATCAGCATCAACATCAACATCAGCAGCAGCAGGAGCAGGAGCATCATCATCGTCAGTAGTGTGAAGCAAGGAAAACAGGAATGAAATGACTAAGTCAGAGTTGGGTACAAATACAACCCTAGAAAGCTGTACCCCATATGTGCTACCCCACTATAGCCTACAAACATGCATCAGTTATAATAATCCGACACACCCCCATAGGCAAAGTGGGGGAGAACAAGGGGTCACAAGACCAGTCAAGCAAAGCAAAGCAAAGCAAGCTCAGGGTGGATCACAACGTCACCACACAGTCCGAGCACAAGAGCAGGGCCAGAGGCCAGTTCACATGCAGGAGTACAGACATATATATAAAACTAGACAAGCAAGAGCAGGTATATATATATGTCACAGTACAAGTGAAGTCAAGAGGAGAGCAAGTGAGGCAAGACAGGCACAAGACCCAGCTGGGTGCAAAAGCGCTGATGGTCACAAGGCGCGAGTGCCTTGGTGAACACATCAGCAGTGTTGGCCTCAGAGGCCACGTACGCAAGTCGCAACTGACCACGCTGCTGCAGCTCACGAGCAAGGAAGTAGCGGAGAGCAATGTGCTTCGTTCTGTGCTCCAAGCGCTGCTCTCGACACAAGGCCAGCATGGCCTTGTTGTCTACGTACAGCACTGGAGGAGAACGAGGCGGCTCTCCAAGGTCAGTCAGCAGGTAGGTGAGCCAGCGAAGCTCCTGTGCAGCCATGGCCCCGGCGTAGATCTCAGCCTCACAACTGGAGCCGAGAACCGAAGACGAGCGAGTAGACCGCCACGAGACAGAGCCGGAACCAAGGCTGAAGGTGTAACCCTGTGACGACCGCTGCGTAGCCTGGTCGTCAGCCCAAGAAGCGTCCGCGTGGCCGGTAAGGACCACTGGACTCCGCCCTCCAAGCACTAGCCCCATGCCCGACGTGCTGCACAGGTAGCGCAATACCCTCTTCGCTGCAGCCATGTGCTCCGGTCTGTGTCTCCCAGGAGCAACATAGCGAGCAAGAATGCTCAGAGGGTATGCAAGGTCAGGTCGTGTGCAGGTCATCAGGTACATGAGGCAGCCAACAAGCTCTGCATACGGACCACTCGACTCTACGGACTCATCCGAAGGCAGAGCTGAGAGTGAGTGGCGAGTAGGCAGAGGAGTGGCCTGAGGCGAGGAGTACGTGAAGCCGAAGCGCTGAAGGACCTGCTGCACCATGTGTGACTGAGTCAAGGTAATGGTGCGGCGTGCTCTGTCCCGAGTGATCTGCAAGCCAAGGTAGCTGCGCAGTTCACCCAGGTCTGTGCACGTGTGTCTCTTCAGCAGCTCGGACTTCACGTAGGCGAGTCCAGCAGTGTCTGCTGTGGCAAAGACCAAGTCGTCGACGTACACGAGGATGTAGAACGGCGGCAGGGAAGTGTCGGTGCGAAGAAACAGCGACGGGTCAGCAGTAGAAGGAGCAAACCCAAGAGCCGCAAGCGTAGTCCTCAGTGTGTCGTGCCACTCACGCGGTGCCTGGCGGAGACTGTAGACTGGCCGTCGGAGGCTCCACTGGGTGCCAGGAGGGAAAGTCCCAGTGAAGCCAGGTGGACGGCGAAGCCAGATCTCCTCGTGCAGGCTACCCTGCAAGAACGCAGTGCTGAAGTCGAGAGAGTGAAGCTCGTAGTCGCGCTGAGCAGCTATGTGCAGCAGCACCCGAAGAGTAGTCATCTTCGGGGTGGGAGAGAAGGTCTGAAAGTAGTCAACTCCCTGCCGCTGACTGAAGCCACGAGCAACGTACCGTGCCTTGAAGATAGGTGGAGAGCCCGGCGGCCGCTTCACCCTGAAGATCCACATGCCACTGACGATGTTCGCCCCAGGAGGGGGAACCGCGTCAACGTAGGTGCCTGTGGACTTCCAGGAAGCCATCTCTGCATCCATAGCTGCCTGCCACTGAGAGGAGTAGGGACCCTCTACGGCCTCCGCGTAAGAACGCGGAGTCGGGATGTCTAGTGCATCCGGGTCTCCCTCAGGGGCAAGCAGTACAGACGCGAGATGAGGTGAAGCAGCCGCTAGACACTGTAACTCCTCCTGCCTGTCCTCTAGGACGTCCGTGCCAAGAGCACACTCACCCCCGACGGACGGAGGACAGACAGACGCAGACTCAGCAACAAGACTAGCAGCGTAGTCGAGACGACAGCGAGCAGCAAAGTCGACAAGCTGAGCGACTAGAGCAGACGCAGCAGTGGACTCAAAAGAGGGGTCAGTGACGACAGTAGCAAGCAGACGTGTGACAGTAGGACTGGCAGCACGAAGAGAGTCCGACCCAGGGTCAGCAAGCGCAGGAAGAGAGGACTCAGGAGGAGAAGGCAAAGGGGCACGCAGAGGAGCAGTGGACGGACGCAAAGACATCCGGTGCGTGCCAGGGAGAGGAGGAGGACGCTGACGCGAACTGCGACCACTAGCGCGAGCAGTGCGAACAGGCGACGCGGGACGAGACGCAGGCTCACGACGCTCAGCAAGACCTCCAGTAGGACCAGTGTAAGGAGAGGGAGCAGGCAGTGGAGAGGAAGGCTCCAGCAGGGACTGCGACTGGACAGGCGGTGGACCCTCTACTGGAGGAGAAAGACCAAGAACCTGCTGCAGGAGCGGAACGAAGTACGGCCGAGGCCGCGCGGCAGCTCCAGACGCAGCAGGGACAGCACCAGCACCCTCAGCGACAGCACCAGCGCCACCCACACCTCCAGCGGCAGGACCAACAGCAGTAGGCTCAGCACCAGCGCCCTCAGCAGCTCCAGCTCCAGGAGGACCCGCAGGTCCAGCAGCTCCGAGACCGGCAGCACCCGCACCCTCGACGGTCGAAGAAGCTCCAGCTCCAGCTCCAGCAGCACCTCCAGACTCAGCAGCACGCCTCCAGCGGCGAGCGAACCACTCGCGCAGCTCCTGCGGAGAGAGGGGCTCCCGGCGAGACGCAGCAGCAGGAGAAACCCCAGGCTCAGCAGCTCCAGACGCAGCACCCCCAGGCTCAGCAGCTCCCAGCTCAGCACCCCCAGGCTCAGCAGCTCCCGACCCAGCACCCCCAGACCCAGTACCTCCAGGCACAGCACCCCCCGGCTCAGCACCCCCAGGCTCCGCACCCTCCGCAGTAGCACCCTCAGGCCCAGCACCCCCAGCAGTAGCACCCCCAGGCTCAGCACCCCCGCGCATAGCACCCCCAGAGTCAGCACCCCCAGGCTCAGCACCCGCAGCAGTACCAGAGTCACCAGTAACCTCGACTGGGTAAACGGCGTCTACCTGGGACACACCTGAGGGGGCAGGAACCTGAGGGGGGAGGGGGTCTACCGGGGGGGGAACCGGCACAAGGAAGTCCGGGGGAGGGGGGAGGGAAGGAGTGCGGTAGGGGAAGAGACGGTAGAAGGGGACTGACTCGTCGAACGTGACGTCCTGGGAGGACAGAACACGACGAGAGGAGGGGTGGTAAAACTGCCACCCTGGGGCGTCAGTGGGGAAGCCAAGGAAGACACAGGGAGCAGCACGAGGGGACAGCTTGTCCGCAGACAAGTCGCGGACAAACGCCCGAGATCCCCAGACACGGAACACAGACGCATCGCCAACCTTCCCCGTCCACAGCAAGGCTGGGGACATCGCAGGCCGAGAGACCCGGGGGTGAAGGTTGAGCTGATGCGCCGCGTACCTCACCGCAAACGGCCACAGAAAATGGGGGGCAGCCGCATGCATCATGGACGTACGAGCGACATCCATGACCATGCCAATGCGGCGCTCAGCAATCCCATTTTGCTGTGGTGAGTCCGGAAGCGTGAAGGTCTGGCGGATCCCCCGTGCACGACAGTAGTCCCGCAGAAGGCGA